GATCTCCCGCTGGCCTGAGTGCCCCCCATGCCCTGGCATTCCAGGTTCTGCCACGGTGCATGAGAAAGCGCCCCTGGTGAAGTCCCTGCTGCTGGCCGGGCCCTCTGGGGTTGGGAAGAAAATGCTGGTCCATGCCATCTGCACAGAGACCGGAGCCAACCTCTTCAACCTGTCCGCAGCCAACATCGCGGGCAAGTACCCCGGCCGCAGCGGCCTGCAGATGATGCTGCACGTGGTCTTCAAGGTACCCCGGCGTCCGCGGCTCCCGTCTCCTCCTCCCCAGAGGTGTCCCCTCCGATCCTGGGTTTCCCACATCTTCAGATCATTTCTCCAGGCCAATGATTCCCTCAGGTCTCCCCGTCAAATCAAGTAATGCCTGTGTCTGGCTGGGCGCCCCACGTTAGGAAAGGCTTTTCCACTGTGTCAGAACCCTCCAAGCCCCGCCTGCCACCGGAGCCCCTCTGAAATGCTCGCCAGGCTCAGTGGCGATGGAACCAGGACTGCTGTGTTGGCCCTCTCTGCTGCGTCTGCCCTGGCACTTCCCACATGGCATGGCCACTGAGCAGAGGTCCACCCTCTGCATCAGCTCTTCATCTGTCTGGGCTGAGGGAGCTGGCTGGGAGCCGGGCTGACTGACTGCCATTGCAGTGGGGCGGGTGGGAGGGGCTCTGGATACTCTCATGGTCACTCTCACCCTGCCCGTTCCTCAACCAAAGTGAAAGGCATTGGTGCCGGGGTGCACCATCCACTTGACAAACAATGGCTCTCTGGCACAGTTCACCTAGCTAGTTAGCTGGGTAAGTGGGTGGGTGGATGGATGGATGGATGGAAAGGTGGATGGATGGGTGGGTGGGTGGATGGGAGGATGGGTGGATGAATGAATGGGAGGATGGATGGATGGATGGATGGATGGATGGATGGATGGATGGATGGGTAGCTGGATAGGTAGAGATAGATAGATAGATATTAGAAATAGATAGACAGAAATTATATATATATATGCAGAGATAAACACAAAGTTGACCAAAGGGCAGAGAATTTTTACGTAGGACCAGGTCCACTACCATCGAATCAGTTCTGGCTCATAACGACTCCACAGGACAAGAGTCAAATGGTTTCTTCTTTTTTTTTTTTTTTGTCTTTATGGTGGATGTTTACTTTTTTAAATAATTTTATTGGGGGTTCATACAACTCTTATCAAAATCCATACATACATCAATTGTGTAAAGCACACTTG